AAATATAAAGGGTATTTTCTGGGGTAAAGAAAACTACAATTCATATAATTTAGATGAAACAAACTGGTGAAAACATCATGAGGATTCTTCATCACTAGATTTCTGACAGTAGATCCGTTCACCTGAATGTGACACTGGAGCTTTAACTCTTCATGTGACGATATATAACAACAGGAGAAGTCATAGACTTTAATCATTTAACTTTTGTCACAGAAGATGAGTACTCGTCTGAACTTCCAGATGTTGCACAGCAGCACAGTGCTGCAGCTCTATCTGAAATGTCAACTCACCCCTCTCGGCCTTGATTTTGTCGAGGATTTCATTTTTGTCGACAAGGTCGGCCTTCAGCGCCGTCTCCAGCTGTGCGATCTGTAACTTCAGCTGCTGCTCCTGGATCTGCCATTTTTGTTGCTGAGATACGTCGAAGGCGCTGGAGACACAAAAGAAGATGACGTCCATGATTATCAAGTAATTAGTGTGAACTCTGACGCAGCAGTCACTCCTTCAGGAATTCCCGGCTCGTTTTCTTTATTTGTTCCTCGTACTACATGTTTAGATTTTGTAGTTTGGTAGTTATTATTATTTTAGTAAGGTGAAGTGACACTGATGTGAAATCAAAGCTGAGTTATTTAATATGTCCGGTCCATCAGTACATGTAGAACATGCGGCTCCTGTGCTTCTCTCAGAGGTCGAGACTCAAACAGCCAATCAGAACAAAGCTTCTCACCTGTTCACCAGTTGGTCGTTGTTCTCCCTCAGAAGGTCTCTCTCCTGCTGCAGGTCCCAGATCTGCTGCTGCAGCTGAAGAACACAGAGTCTGAGCACAGAGCTGCTCTCATCAGCTGTACACTGATACTAGAAACACTTTATCTAGATCATGTCTGTCTGTGTCTCTCATATCGTATCGCCTTCACACGTGGTTCAGAGTCCAGTGAAGTTCAGTGTTGAATTTAGTTTGTTTAGTGATATTGAACGTGTCACGACCGCTCCACCTCATCAGGGTTCTGTGCCTGAGTCCAGCAGCAGGTCTTGTTCTGCTGCAGTCACAGTGAACAGCCCATTCAAACTGACTGATGCTGATTTTCAAAATAATTACAGATGAATTTCTTATCGGTGGACTGAGGTGAAGTGACACCTATAGCTGTCGGATTGAGGTGCGTCCAGATGCAGAGGAGGAACTGAGACCTTCACCGCTCTGTAGACCAGCACCACAGTTCTGAACTGGGACATGTCCTCTCTAAGGGACATGTGGACCTGATGTAGTGTTTCGTCACCTGCTCCATCCTGATCTTGGATGTGTTGGAGCTCTGCAGCCGTTTCTCCATCTCCAGACTCTTCAGCCTCTCGTCTTTAAGCTGAGCCGACAGCTCGTCCACCTTCAGCATCGCCGCGTCGTGACTGGCCTTCAGCATCCGCTGACTCTGAAATGCACAAGTCAACATTTAACAGCATTCTGGACAAAGTCATAGCATGGTGCTCCTGAGTGCCCCCTGCTGTGAAACAGTTCAGCGACACGACAGTGGTGACAATCTTTAAATTTCATATTGTGGCAGTGTGAAGAGTCTTATTTAAGTTTCCTGCTTCAGGTCACAGCTTCATTTTTTCCCTCAGGTATTCTGTGGAAAACGTCCAGAAAAACACGTGCCTTTAACATTCAGTGATCAGTGTCTATGTGTGGAAACACAGAGTGGACAGTTTGCGTGTTTCTGAATGAAAGTCCAGACGATGGAGAAAGATCCAGGAAGTTTTCTGTTCTCAGCTGCGTGAAGACGAAATGCTCGGATGCACCGTGAGAAAATCAAGCTGCGTCTTTTTCCTAAGATGAAGTAGAAACGCAGCAGGTGAAGCGTGCTCCCCTCAGAGACCCCAGTATTGATCTGCCAGCATTGGACTGATCGTTGGGGTGGGGGGGGTGTTGCTGCTCGCCGTCAGTGAGGATGGGGCTGTAAAAACACCTCACCTCTTGTAGCTGTAGAAATCGACCCTCCAGCTCTGTTACTGCGTTGGACCTGACGGCCAGCTGCTTCTGCAGTTTGATCATCGTCATGTTGTCGTTGACATGTGACCTGAGAGAGAACAAGAGTGTGTCTGACATGTTTGTTTGTTGTGAACCTGAATCCTCTCACAGTTTAAAAGACTGGATCAATAGTTCTCACACTCGGGTTCAGGTCGAACAATGTTTGTATTGAGCTGTAAACAGACGCTCGTATTCCTCTGACGTTTCAGGTGAACCAGGTAAAAAACAATGTTTCATCTCTCAGGCTTTCATTAGTGAAGCAATAACATCCACACACTAATAGTTTTAGTATAAACTACAGCATCCTGTACCTAAGTTTGTTGGTCTGCTGCTGTCGGACTTGCTGGAGTCTCTCTTCGTACTCAGCCTCTTTCTTCCTCAGCTCCTCCCACAGCTGCTCCAGCTCTCCCTCCGTCTCCTCCATGTGGCTCCGCTGAGCCTCGATCACTTTCTCTCTAGTTCACATGAACATTGTTATCAGATATCGTCTCTGCTGTATGACGAGTGATTCAGGAAATGTTTCCATGAGGTGAAAACCTACATTGAAATAATTTAACTTTAATTTGTCCGTATGTCTTCTCATGTACGTACATCAGTATGTCTCACATATCTTGTGTGTCACTGTTTCAATCCTAAAAATTATATTATTTGATATAAGAATAATTTAAATTAACTTTAAACCTGAAGCAACAAAGAATATATGCTATTTTTCAGTGCTGTGGGTGAAACACAAGCTCCTCTTGTTTCAGTTCGGAATGTGTGGCCGAAGAGAGACAGACGCTTCACACAGCATCTTTTTTCAAAACTCTACACCCCCAGAATTTATGGTTGATCGTAATCATAAACTCACAGGTTGCGGATCTCCGCCCTCGCCTCCTCCAGCAGACTGTGTCCGTATCGGGGCAGCTGGCTGCTGGGAGGCCGCCCTCCTCCGTCCAAATTCCTGGAAACTGAAGGAGACACAATGACGTGTTCACGGTGACGACAACACACTTAACTGTTCAGGATTAACTGCGTCACCAGTTTACATCAAAGCAACAGTTCTCGACCCTGCGCTCTTCTAATCTCAATGTCTTGAACTCACTTTTGGGTCGAGAGGGCGCTGACGTGTCGTCCGGCAACTTCTTTAATCCGGTGTTGACCCGTGACTGGACGTGTCTGTAAGGCGATGGCCTCCTGCTCTGCGTGTTGATGAGCTGATGTTTGGCCACAAGAAGACGCTGTTTCAGTCCCTCGTTCTCCGCCTGTAGTCCCCGCACCTTCTCCTGGAGCTCCTCCATCATTTCCTCCATCTCCACGTCTCGGACCCTGGACACCGGCTGCGCTACGCCGGCGGCGAGCTGCTCCATTCGACCTCTGTCCTTCACCAGCTTCATCAGCTTGGTGCTGAGCCTGACGGGCGGAGGAGGGGATGTGAGGGTTCAGGTGACTGTTGTGAAGTTTGGTTTATTGAACAGGAAGACAATGACAGATTATCTATCGTATTCATTATTGATATATTTATCATTTACTGATCTGTTTATTTCTCTCTCGGAGTTCTCTCTGTCGTATTCTCTGAACCCGCCAACATTTGATTTGATTGTTGTGGGAACTGTTGTATTTCTCTTTGATATCGTGACGTGGTCCTTGATAATCATCAACGTTTTCATATTCAAACATGAACTGACAGATGTTTTGTGAAGGTGAAACGATCCTGATGGTGTCAGCTGACGGTCGACTACGATCACAACCAGACTTCTTGATACACAACATGTCTCCTCATCTTCTACCATCAGTGACTCCTCAGTTCATGTGTCTGCTCCTTCATCTCTATCAGACATGTTCTCATGTACAAATACTTTAAACAAGAAGTTATAAACTGTTTCTTCTAATGTAGTGAATCTGTTGTTGTGTTGATGTCTTCAGTTCATCAGCATCTATTGTCCTCGTGTAAAGTTTCTCTGTAAACATCAATGAGACAAACTGAATATGAGACAAATAACATTTGATTTTAATGTAATGTTATTGTTTCGTTGTCTTCCCACTTTCATTGGAAGTCAAATGAAATTGTTGGTATTATAATGGTAAAATTTAAAGCAAAGAAAACCTTGATCAGGCCTGAGTATGTTTGGTAGGACGTGTGTGTGTGTGTGTGTGTGTGTGTGTGTGTGTGTGTGTGTGTGTTTGCGTTACTTCTTGATCTTGTCCTCCTGTTTGTTGTTGTGCTCTTTAAGGAGCAGATTCTCATCATGGAGGTGCAGGAACCGATCCTCCAGCTCCTCCCTGGACACCCGCGAGATGTCCTGGCGGGTCCGAGCATTTTGATGAACCCACGGGTCTGTCAGCAGAAAATTATATTCTCATTTCATTGACATGATGATAAGAAATGTGAGGCTGCTGATGTACACCAGGTTTAGCCTCTGCTCTATTTCCACCACCTATAATCTCATTTTCCAAACAGCAGTGAACAAACCACTAAATAAAGATTCCTGAACACAACCAGTGTCACAGACCTTGCAGAGCAGCGGTGAGTCGAGACAGGTTGACTGCGATGTCTCTGACTGGGACATCTGCTGCTGTCTCATCGAGCGCAGTGGACATGTCTGAAAGGAAACACAGCTGTTAGTAAACACTGTCTCACCAGCAGCACAATGTCCTCCAGGAACATGAGTCTTTCAGAAGTGAAGGGAGAAGTTGTTGAGCCAAACTCCAGTTTAAAATGCATCAATCAAAACTGATGTCGCTGTGGGGATTCAAAGATTAACATTAGAACAAGACTATTTGCTTTCCAGTGACTGCTTGAGTCTTTATATGTGTTCGGCTGCAAGTGAAACGCTGCAGTGTTTGATTGTTAAACTGAATGAAGACAGATTGTCCACATGCCTCAGCCTTCACTTAGAACATGTAAAAGTTTTCTGTAGGACACGCTGCTGGTGAATTCACTTGATGCCGAACTGGAACCTGGTCATCGTTCTTCTCTGGAGTCAGGGCTCATTTGTCTGGAATAAGATTTAACGTTACTTTCATCTGTGAGGAGGAAAATCTGCAAGAATTCAAACGGAGTCTGGTGAGCGATCTTCTGGAAGTGATTCTATAATATATCAGATAAAGTTTCATGTGAAGTTCAAGTTTCTTAAAGCAGCTGATTCAAAACACTGAGCTCGTTCATGTGTTGTTCTCAATGGAACTAGCGATGCTAGCCACACGAGCTAACGCTAGCTTACCTCTGCTCTGTGGAGGTTAGCTAACAGGCTAACGCGTGCTCAGGTGCTACAGTAGTGACGTCAGCGTGTTCTCTTGAAGCATGAACATGTTTGATTTATATTTGAAATATAGTTTGAGGTGTTTCTCACCTCCAGACCTCCTCAGACCTCCTCACTCCTCCTTACTCCTCCTCACTCCTCCTCACTTCTCCTCAGTAACGGTTGCTACACACAACAAACCAGCGGGGCGCGTCATCACACGCATGGGCAGTAGGATTTCTGGGAAATGTAGTTTCTTCTTCTTCTTCTTTGAGGTTTTATGGAGCTGTGATCCAAAGTGTTGTGTGTAAATTAGAATGAACAGTTCCCACCTCTGATAGTACTTACTAGTACTTACTAATACTTACTAGTACTTACTAATACTTACTAGTACTTACTAATACTTACTGCTGCAACAACTGTTTATTTATTGTGCTCATATTATATTCAGACCCATTCTACCACATAGTTATTTTTATATTTCGTTGTGTCAAATCTTGCCCCTTGTCTTTTGTGTCTTCGTCTCTGTGGATGTTGAACTGCTGCTGTGACACAACGAGTTCCCAACTGAGATCAATAAAGTTCATGTGTCTGATACGTTCCTAACAGAGTCCGTGTTGGTTGTATGTTGCGTAGTTGTTCCCTTGTAGATTTCCTTCATGATGTAAACATGTGTTCTGTTGTTCTGCCTCATTGGTCTCAGATACCTGTTGGATGTTTTTCCATGATAGGAAGAACCCTATAGAACCCTATAGAACCCTATAGAATAGATCATATGAAGTGTTGAGGTTCCTCTTTCCATTCCTCAGCATTCATAATACTTAATACTACATAGTACTTCATCCTGAGGTCTACCAACCTCATGTTTCTGGACGTCCTGAGGTGACCGGGCCTTTACAGCGGCTCCGTCTAATCTCTGGTGGAGTTTACCTCTTTATATTGGAACCACTCAGACGATGGAAACATTTAAATCAACTTTAAAGACCTTGATTTCATCGCTTACTGTGCGATATTTTATTTCTTATGATATTTGTTAGGGTCAATGGTGGCAGTTTGAAACAAGATCTATGAATAAACTTTGACTGATCTCGTCTTCAGTTGGTGAGAATTAATATTAACCTGTTTATTATTATTATATTTTTACAGACTGGTATTGTTGCTGTGAGGGGGGGGGGGGTGCAATAGTCTTAAATCTTAAACCTCAAACAGCTCTGTGAATAAGTGAGGACCAGCCAAACATCTCAAATGGTCCTCACAAAGATAGAAGTTCAAGCACACACACACTGAAATCTCCGTTTAACAGCAGGTTGTTCTTTTGTTTCTGAAGCGTCTTGATCTCATTTGTTCGAATTCTCTTGAAGAAGCAGATTTAAAGCTGGACAGTGTCTCACAGGACTTTAAACAACACAACAGGACAAACACACGACTGAACATCAGTGAAGTTGTGGAGAGAGACTGTGAGTCCCACATGTGACACTAGGTGGCACCTGGTTAACACGACTGAGGAGCTGACTTCCCCCCCTCATATCTACACACACTGTGTGTGTCCTGAAGACTTTTCTGCCCGGTCCAGTCTTCATCCAGGACATGGTCCCACCTGACCCCCAGCCCGTCCACTCCGCTCTGCATCGACCAATCAGCTGCTCCCTCACTGAGCACTAACACTCATGAATCATGTTTTCTGTCCCGGCTCCTAAATGATGGAACGAGCTCCACATTGACACCAGGACAGAAAGTCTCCACGTCTCTCACCACAGACTAAAGACACCTTGGTTCACAAGATGATGTCATCGTCTACTCTGGTGTTTATCTAAAAAAATACAAATAAAAAGTTTCGCTGCACGAACGTGTAGAACTCTGTAGTTTGTCTTGAAGCTGATCAACTGATTGTCACTCTGGATAAAATCAGCTGAATGAAATGTAATGTGTGTGTGTGTGTGTGTTTATTGTGGACATCCAGAGGACCAGTGGACACATGGACCAGTGGACACATGGACCAGTGGACACATGGACCACCATTTGCTGTGTTGGTGAACTGTTCCTGGAGGTTCAGAAATACCAGGTCGATGTGTAAAGTTTTACCATTACTACTACTTCTTTGTTGCCTTTGATTTAAAGCCACACTGTAATAAATTATCTAAAACTTGTTTATCATCATAATTATTAGTAGTAGTATTAATATTAGTATTAATATTAGTAGTAGTAGTAGTATTCATTCACATAAAAGCCCTCAGATCGAATCATTACAGTGGGATTACATTACGTCACAGTTCCAGTTTCTGTCTGAACAAATGTTTTTCTCACTGTAACGTGTGAAGCATGTGACACCTGAGAGTTTCTCCTTTTGTCTTTTAAAATGGATTCAGTCGTGACCCAGTTTCACTATGGAGACGATTTTAACGTCTGTACAAACCTCAGATCTTCATCCACTCGTTAAAGACGGTTTCTGTTCCGAGTGTCTCTCGTTATTTGTCTGAAAAGAAAAATAATCTCATCAAGCATGTTTTCAACCTGAAGACAAAAATATTCACTTAGAGCAACATTCCAGCTGATATTGAATTTTAATCAGCAACGAGCTCCAACGACAATGACATAAGTATGTGTGCAGAGAAAATGACCTGAGCTGTGTGAGTTGTTGGGTCATCTGCAGATGATCTTGATGTGAGTCGTTCATATAAAGTGAGTCGGGGTCAGTGAGCGAGTCAGACAGTGTCGATGTGAGCGGAGCAGCTGATTAGTCTGAAGCATCACGTGTCCATCAACACGTCTGTGAATACTCAGCGTGACCGTGTGGCCCAGTCACTGGAAGTTAAGTGAGATTTTAATACTTCACATCTAAAAGCGTCGGAGCTGGAACTACGTGACATTAACGGGTCGAGGAAGTCGACACCTGGAAAAGAAAAACCTTTCCATCGTGTGAGATAAATCACGTCTTCATTCCACCAAATAAACAGGACGGCAGACATTTCATTATTTCCACGAGTTACCAGGGAAACTATTTCCTCTTTCAAGTTGTGGATGAAGTCAGCGGGTGACTTTCTTCTCAACTATAATCGTCTTTTAAGTGCACAGTCGAACTCCTCAAAGACACTAAAACATGTTTAATCTGAGCCTCCTGGGGCTCGTGCAGCGCTGTCGTGAAGCCGATGAGATGATGTCACTTGAGAAGAAAACACTTCACAATGGAGGTGATTCAACTTTGAAATCTTTAAAATGCTCCCTGCTGAATTGTCTTCAGTGTGGAGAAGGTTGTTAAAGTGCACAGCTTCACTCAGAGTGGTTTTTATTTACTGTGCCTCCGCCTGTCAAAGCTTCTGAAACACTCTGACGTGTCCCGTCAGCTCCCATGACATCACTCAGAGAAGAGTGAGTTTCAGTAGAAACACTGAATAACACACGTCTGTAATGATCCGCTGAGAACTCTGGGAGTTTGACAGCTGGATTCTAATGATGGTTTATTTAGTGTGTGTTGACAAAACCTACGTTACAGAAAGCGTCGCGTAAACTTCAGCATTTTAAAGAGACTGAAGCTGTTTCCAGAAGTCTGGGCATGTTCCTGATGTGTTCCTGACATGTTCCTGAC